TATATATTCATTTTGTGGTTTGTATTTCACATACTGATAGGGGTTTCATTTTTTTACATCTTTGTGGATGTTTTGCTGCCTACAGTTAAAAAGGTCTATGTAGTCAGTCAAATATTTCAGTCTTATACATTGTGCTTCCTGGATTTGGTATCTCAACTCTAAAGTCATAAGACTGTCTACACATTCAAGCCAGCTCCAGCTTGCTTTAAAATGGAAAAGTGACGTACTCCGTAAGGGTACATTGTTATTTCACAGTCCCTGAGGGGAGGGTGACAATGAGGACTCTGGGCGTCACCTGAATTAATGATTTCCATTTTCTCTGCTCTTTTCTACATATATTCCATTCTTTTCGGTTTATTTTTTTAACATTAAAAGTCATTTCTGTCAGTATTGAATTTCTGTTGTTACATTTATTTTGCTTTTTTCTTTCTAAATTTTCTGAAATAAATATTTTATTTCCTTAATTATTTTGTTGTGGGATTAATAATGAAAATATTTAAAACTGAATTTTCCTTTCAGTATAGGACTTTGGCCAAGTCCCACAGGTTTTATGTAGAGTCTCTTGTAAATTGACATGTAACATCTTAATATTGTATTTTTTTCTTCCTTATTGAAGAATAAGTTTGTAAAATAATTTTATGATATTATTTTTATTTTTTATTTATTTTTACTTTTCTGTAACTTTGATAAGAGAAGGTAGTCTCACAATATCCACTCTTTGATTTTATTGATATTTTCTGTGCAAGTCAATTTATAAGCCACTTTTATAAAGGTTTATAACGTTTGATGTCACTTGATGCTATTCCATTTTATGGATTTACCCTCATTCATTTAATGATGTTCTATTTTGGATGTTTGGAGTATTGTTATTTTTTTTGCCCATTTAAATTTGTCTGATTACAGATTGTTAATTATAGCCTCAGGATAAATTCCTGGAGAAGAACTGCTGGTTCAGATAAACATTTTTGGATTTTTTATACCAGATGCAAATTGGCCTTCAGATTGGTCTCCAGTTCATAATCCTGTCAGCAATGCATGGGAAAGCTCTCCTGTCTGTAGTCCTAGAAAAGGCTGACTATTAAGGTTTTAAATGGTGGTCATTCTTATAGGAAATATTGCATTGCTTATACATTTTACCTATGCAATAATTCTGTGATCTACTTTTCTGGATCACTACAGTTTTGCCTCTTCTAAAATTTCATAGAAATGATAAATTCCAGTATGCAATCTTTTGTATCTGGCTTGCTTTGAGATTCATCCGAATACCCACAAGTTTGTTACCCATTCAGCCATTGGTGGACACTTGGGTAGATTCAAGTTATCAACTATTATGAATAATGCTATTATGAAAATTTATGTATATGTCTTTGTGTGGATATTTTCTTTCCTTTCTCTTGGATAGATACAAAGAAAGAAACTACTGGGGCATATGGTAAACGCATTTAACTTTAGAAGAAGCTGATGGAATGTTTTCCAAAGGGGTGGTGCTAACGTGCATTCCCACGAGCGATGAGCATGGTGGTTCCAGTTGCTCCATATCTTCTCCAACACCTGCTGTTATCAGTCCCTTATAATTGGGCATTATAATGAGTGCTTAGTAGTGTCTCACTCTGGTTTTGATTTGCATTTTACTAATATTAATAACTGAGCATTTTTTATGTGCTTATTTGCCACCTCTATACTTTCTTTGGTGAAGTATCCATTTAAATCTTTTGCCCATTTCCTTAACTTGATTCATCTTCTTGTTGAGTTCTATGGGTTCCTTCCTTTGTGTTTTCTGCATGTAAGTCCTTTATTAGAAACATGCTTTGTAACTGTTTTCCCCCAGTCTCTGGCTTACCATTCCATTTTCTTAACACTATTCTTTGGAGAGAAGAATTTTAAAATTTTGGTGAAGTTATATTTACCAATTTTTCTATTTTATGAATTGTGATTCAAATGAGATATTTAGAAAATAGTTTTCTAGCCCAAGATTGCAAAGATTTTTTTTCTTCTATGTTTTCTTCTAGAAGTTTTATCATTTTAGCTCTTACATTTA